GTTGTCTTGTCTTTCGTTAGTTACGTTTTTCATTCATTCTTAATTCTCTCTTTTAATTCAACTTTAATACTATGTAATACAATTTTAATTCAAATTTAATTCATTTTGAAGTTTTTTGATTTATTTGTTACTATTGGATACTTATTTAATTCATTATTGATATAACTTATAAGTTTAATTCAGTTTATAGATCATTGTCTTGTCTTTCATTAGTTACGTTTTTCATTCATTCTTGATTCTCTCTTCTAATTCAACTTTAATATTGTGTAATGCAATTTTAATGCAAATTTATTTTGCAGTGTTTGGTTGATTTGTTACTATATGATTACTTGTTTAATTCATTATTGATACAAGTTTAATTCTCTACAGACCGTTGTCTGGTCTTTCATTAGTTACGTTCTCTTCATTTGTTACGATTAGATTACTTGTCCAACTAATTATTGATACAAATTTTATTTTGTCTACGAATTATTGACTACTACACGAAAGAAAGCAGAGAGAAAGAAAGGGAGAAAGAACAATAGAAAGAGAGGGAGAAAGAGCAGCATAAAGAAAGAAAGGAGAAAGAACAATGTACAGAAAGAAAGAAATGGAGAAAGAATAACGTACAGAAAGAAAGAAAGAAATGGAGAAAGAATAACAAAAAGAAAGAAGGAAAGGGATAAAGAGCGAGAAAGAGAGACAGTTTTGAAAAGGCTAGAGACAAAAAAAAAGAAGAGGCGAGAAAGAAAAATAAATATAATAAAATACATAGTATTGTTAGATATTGCTATAAATGGTAATAATTAAAGAGTATATTTAAAATAAGTAATTATTTTTTAAAAGGGATCCACTCAAGTAATTAATCATAATATAAATTATATTATACAAAATCTGAAAACTACATGTTTATAAAAACTTTAATAAATTATACAAAAAAAATTGAGTGTATATGGTGATAAAACTAAAAAATAAAAGGAAATCATCATCATATACAAATACAAACCACCGTATATAAATACAAATCAAACGAAGAATTGTTAGTTGCGAATTATACAAATGTGGCGAATTATACAAACATGGCTAATTATACAAACTCGAAGTCAACCCACGTAATTAATGGTTACTGTTAGTCGCGAGTGGTAATTATAGCAAACTATAGCTATGATGACTAATTAAGTAGTATAAGTTTGCTTAACCGCGTAATTTTCCCTTAATTAATTGACCATTGAACATAAATTAATGGGAAAAGAGTTCGAAATACATGCGAATTTTGACCGAAATTACTGTAACAATCTTAAACTTTGAATAAGACTTATTACCCCTGCACTATCAAATAGTGTATTTTAAAGGTATATATGTGCCACGTGGACAAGTTGTTATTTATAATGATACAATATTTATGATGTTCACGTGGGTACATATATACCTTTAAAATACACTATTAAATAGTGCAGGGATAAAAGGTCCTTCCCAAAGTTTGGATTGTTATAACAATTTCGGTTAAAGTTTGGATATATTTCAGATTTTTTTCCTAAATTAATCACTTAGTCTTCCTATTTTGATCAAATTCATACTTTCAAGGTTATAAAATAGGAAGAATAGTATTATTTATGTATTGATTTTGTGAAATGACAAATATTAAGGACCATCTATTTTTAGTAAA